CCTCTTCCCTTGCTCCGTACCCCACCCAACCTCTGCCCTCCCTTCGCCCAACTTCACCCTGCCGTCTTTCCCCTTCCTCACGGCCTCCTTCCACTTCCTCCTCTTCCTCTTCACGCTTTTTCCCATGCTCGTCTTCCCCTTACCTCTTCCCTTCCTCCATACGTCACTCAACCTCTGAACTACGTTCTGTTTTCTGTCCTCCCTTCGCCCTACTTCTCCCTGCCGCCTCCCTTTTCTCCCGCCCTCCTCTGGACCTTCTCTTAAACCTCCCTCTGCCCTCCCTTGCCTGGCCACCTGACTCCCTTTGCCCAATCTCCGCCTGACCTCCTTCCCTCTATCTCCTCCGTCCTACTCCTTCCTCCTCCCGATTTGCACTGACCTCCTTCCCCCAATCTCCTTCCTCCCCTTCCTTCCTTAGCCCGGTCTCCACCTGACCTCCTGCTTCCGCCCTACTCTCTGCCGCCTTTCCCCTCCCTACAGGCCTCCTCCGCACCTTCTCTTCAACCTCCCTCTGGCCTCCGTCTGCCTGACCGCGTCATTCCCCTTCGCTCGCCCCCTTCGTTCGCCTGATCTCTGTCTGACCTCATTCCCTCCATCTCCTCCCTCCCCTTCCTTCCTCAGCCCGATCACCACCTGACCTCCTACTTCCATTCCTCCCTCCGTCCTATTCCCTACCTCCCCCTTCCTCCCTCGACCGGCGGCACTTCCTTCGTAACGCCCAACGTAAGAAATACTTCTTTTCCTCTATCCTTGGACGTAAAGCATCGTTTGTTATCAAGATCGCTCCATTTCTTTTAAGATCTCAACACTGTTGCACACGCGCAAGAAGGAGAGAGGGAAAGCAGGAGAGAGAAAAACGCATTTCACCCAACACACTTCCTTCCTCGCACCTTCTTTGTCCTTGTCTGTCTCTTCCACCACCACGTCTTCTGCCTCCTCAAGATCTTCCTCCTCAACACTCTCCCTCGGTCTTTTCTTTTTGGAGCGGCCTCATGATTAACTGCCCTGCGCCAGGTATTTCAGGCTATCAATATCTCTTTCCATATTTCACTCTCTTCCTCCCCAATCCCTACACACACCACACTGAGTCAGCTCTCTCTCTCTCTCTCTCTCTCTCTCTCCCCCCGCCGCCCCCACATCCACACCCCTCGCTGTGTGCGTCTGTGTGCGACCGCACACGCGAGAGCACATGCTCGCCTTATTCACATTGGAAAAAAGTGGCGCTCAGCGTTAACGCACATTGAAAAAGCTAAGAAAAACGGATTGCACTCTCTATATCGTCCCCAGATAAGAGAGCACGAAGCGAGGGAGGATGGAGGGCCGAGGTAGGTAACGCCACCAGAGGGAGGAGGGAGAAGGCAAGGGAGGAAACAAGGAGAAAGGGAGGAAGGAGGGAGGGCCGATGGTGCAGGGGTGAGAGAGGGAGGAGCGAGGGTCGAGGCAGGAATGGAGAACGGGCCGAGGGAGGGAGGAGAGAGGGTCGAGGCAGGAATGGAGGACAGGCCAAGGGAGGAGGGATGGTGATGGTGCCTCTCTCTCTCTCTCTGTGTGGAAAGAGGAGAGAGGACGGCCCAAGAGAGAGAGAGAGAGAGAGCACGGATTCACGATGAGCACGGATCCACGATGAGCACCGAACACGAAAAGCATGTATCCACGATGAGCACGGAGAGCACGGATCAACGATGAGCACCGAGCACCAAAGAAATGCACGGATCCCCAATGAGCACGAATCCACGATGAATACATATCCACAGCACCAAGCACCAAAGAAAAGCACAGATCCCCAATGAGCACGAATCCACGATGAATACATATCCACAATGAGCACCGAGCACCAAAAGCACGGATCAACGATGAGCATGTGATCATGCACCAAAGAACAGCACCGATCCAAGATGAGCACGAAAAGCACGGATCGATGATGAGCACGTGATCATGCACCAAAGAAAAGCACGGATCCACGATGAGCACAAAAAGCATGTACCCACGATGAGCACCAAGCACCGAAAGCACGGATCGACGATGAGCGCGTGATCATGCACCAAAGAAAAGCGTGCATGGATCGCCGATGAGCACGAAAAGCACGTATCCACGATGAGCACCGAGCACCAAAAGCACGGATCGACGATGAGAGCGTGATCATGCACCAAAGAAAAGCACGGATCCACGATCAGCACATGATCATGCACCAAAGCACGGATCCACGATGAGCACCGAGCACCAAAGATGAGCAGCAAGTTCCCGTCGAGCACCAAAGGAGAGCACAGTCCAAGAGCGAGAGAGAGAGAGAGAGAGAGAGAGCACGATGAGCACATCGCATGCCGTCGCATGCCATCGCGTGCTGTAGCGGCCAAGACGATTGAGAAGCCTGCCACTTTGAAGGGCGATTTCAGGGCTGGGCGCGGGCGCGCGTTCAGAAGAGCCGTTTGGGCGGGTCGAACCGGTATCGCACGGCCCTGATTGCGAGCCGGTCACCACCTGCGGACGGCCCAGATCGCAGGCCGATGAGAAAAGTTTCTCATCGGCCTGCGATCTGGGCCGTCCGCGCGTGGTGACCGGCCCGCAAGCTGGGCCGGTAGATATGACGTTGGTGATTCTTATAGTATTGTAGATCTAGACAAACGCTGTCCTGAGATTGCTAACCTTACACTCTATTGGGATGAGGCGCAGTACGTGGACAACCTGCAACGTCTGGATCCTTCTGCAGATCACTTATCGGTTAATGGATGATGTCCTTACCTTTGGCTGTCTGCCACCATCGCCAGCCTATTATGGTCTTGAACAGAAGGAGACCCCTTAATCTCGACGTCGTGTTGATGCTAATCTGCCAGGTTAATTGTCTTACCGACAGTCTGCTCTGCCACGTCGACGGCATTCATCAATCATGCACCAACCGTGCCAGATCAGACCTGGCTTTCCAGTGGTGACCGATTAGGATGTGCGGGCAGATCTACCAAATGCTTGTGGCTTGACAGCCACAAATGTCTGCCTACAGGCTTATACTGCATCCCAATTTGTTACGATTGCTTATCAGCTTGACGCTGTTGAAAATCAGTTGTTGTATGCTCATAATAGTCCCCCTCCTGAAGGCAGTAACTATACTACCTCAGGAGGCTGCCCTGTAAATGTCTTACAGTTAGCGTTCCACGGCCGCCACCTCATGCATCATGCGACGCCAGGCGATGACCTCAATAACCATCCTCATATTTTTGCCTGTATTTTACATAGACCCGGGCATTATATGGCACTCGTTCGTGCAGCTGCCCAGTGGTAACTGTGGGATGGTGGGACGATGAGTCAAGCTATTTTTGATGTTCATGAATTTTTGGGTGCATTGTCGAATCATACTTTATTCTGGATTATTGATCGACTGCCGTGTGACACCTGTCGGGACAGATACGCGGTGCGCCTTGGCTGTGGAATGCATCATCTAAGCCATAGCCATTACCAATCTATTGCGACTGCCGGTCTGTACTGAAGGGTGTCCAACATTTCCTGTACACATCCTTGTCACCAAGATATGCGTTATCATTGTGCCCAAGGACGCCATCAGAACTGCATGATGCCGCACTGTGATGAACGTCCTGCTGTTTTTTTGACATGTGGACAACATGTCCTCTGTCAGGACTGTTTTGATGGGATGGTTCGTGCTAGCCGTCCTGCTGAACGCTGATAAGCCTGTAGGCAGACATTTGTGGCTGTCAAACCACAAATATTTGATAGGTCTGCCCGCAGATCCGAATCGGTCACCACTGGAAAGCCAGATCTGATCTGGCGGGGTCGGCGCATAAATGACGAACGCCGTCGACGTGGTAGAGCAGGTTGCCGGTAAGACAAAGAACCCCGCAGATTACCGTCAATACAACGCCGAGAAGGAGGGGGACTGGGAGGACGGGAGAATGAACGAGCCTGCCAACGTCCCAATATGGACAACGAAGATAAGGGAGGGTCAGGTCTCAGCCGGCGTGGGGAAGAAGAAGAAGAACAAGAAGAGGAAGAAGAAGAAGAGGAGGAAGGAGAAGAGGAGGAAGAAGAAGAAGAAGAAGAAGAAGAAGAAGAAGAAGAAGAAGAAGAAAGGAGGAGGAGGAGGAAGAAGAAGAAGAAGAAGAAGAAGAAGAAGAGGAAGAAGGAGAAGAGGAAGAAGGAGAAGAGGAGGAAGGAGAAGAAGAAGAAGAAGAAAAAGAGGAAGGAGGAGATGACAAAGAAGATGAGGATCCAGGCAATGAGGGAGGAGAAGGAGAGGGAGGGGGAGAGGGAGAGGAAGGCAGAGGGGAAGCGGAAGGGTAAAGAGGGGGAGAAGAAGGGAAAGGTGGAGAGGAGGAGGGGGGAGGAAGAGGAGGGGAAGATGGACAAGGAGGGGGAAGACAAAGAGGGGGAG